AGAACTGCTTATCCGTTTCAGATAATAGAAGCCATCGAAGTTCCCAGTCGGTACCCTATATTCCCTAAGTACCGAGGGTGGCTTTCGCAGATTTTCGCACCTCCATCGTTCAGTATGCATCGCTTCCGTGGTCATAGGTTTTTGTCGAAAAATATCACATTCTTGTCTCACAGGTTGGCAGCTTCCTTTCCAAATTCGATTACTGTATTGAAATGTAGATGAGGTATTGAGGAACATGGAGATGGGTTTGGTAGCACTTCACTTGGTCCATGTGATCTAATTTGCGCATTTGAGGCAAGTGACCCGACAGCAGGAAGACCTCCGAATAAGGAATGGGAGGGTACTTGTCCTGCCATTAATTGTTCGTTTTTTTTTGTTTTCCATAGCTTGGTTGTTTGTAATATTCTCTTGATATGCAGATAGTATAGCCTAGCTAAAGAGCTCGAGACGTAGACAGACGTGCAGTCCAAGGTAGGCACCTGAATACACATGCCAACACATACAATGGACATGTCTCAGACTACAGCTGTCCATATAAGATGTTTGTTTGTTGTCTGCTTATGCGTGGATGCCGAAACAGTCGAAAATGGGAGTGGCTGAGAGGTAGTGAGTGACCAGTGAAAAATGTCTCCCACACCCTACGAAATACTGGCGATCTGTGCTGAGTAAGAAGAATTCCAGATCACTCCGGTGAACTAAACAAAAAGAGCTAATCGACAATTTGTCGACCAAACAAATAACTCACGAACAGAAAATGCAGTGAATTTTGTTGAATACTTGTGCTCCCCAGTAATGTGTGATTTCCAACACTGGGAACGGCTGAGCCCAAATTCCCATGCCAACCAAACCGATTGGTCAACACTTAAGGAGAATAGTCAAAACCACAACGAAATGATGCTTTGTCTAAATAATTGGAGTAGAAAACTGGGTTACCTCGCTGTCTCTTGTTTTTCGCTGCCTCGCCAGTTCCTATAACCAAACTCGGTATGTATCGCTTGGTTAGTGACGTTTGTGTCCATAATCTCTATCCATCGTTTGAAACGCACGCTTGAATCCTCACATCACATGTATCCATAGAAGCCATAAACTTTAACGTTGTGGCGTGTATCGTCAACATGGCCTCGCCAACAAATGATGTCTCCTAGTTCGTTTCAGCGTAGCCATAAACCTGCTAATGTTCTGCTGTTCACCCAGGATTAGAAGTGAGTCATTCACCTGCACACTGTCATGTCGGGCATGCACTTTTAACCGTGGCTACAGCACGTGCTTGCGTGTGTATCGTTTCTCGTTCTGACGCTTGAGCCATGGGTAGGGTGAATTCCACCGGTGTTGAGCGCCGCTTCGACGGGAAGTTCATTGATAATTTATCCAACTAATTCCGGTGATGCTAATTATATGCAGCTAATCATCTCGCACCCCTTTGGTTTGTGCCATATTTTGCTGACAGCCCGGGCGCCCAGTACTCTTTCAAACCAAGGTGACACCCCTTGTTTCCCACCTGTTTATTTTTTTCGTGTTCATCTTCGATAGTTAAGACTTAATTAACTTAATTAATAAATCACTCTTATGTCTGTCTCAGTATCCCCTTGTGCTTCCTCAGCGTTCAGGCCATTCGAACGAGCGCTTTTGTCACTTCCAAGTGATAATCAGAATCGGCTCTTGATCTCAACCGGTCTAGTGCACACCCCAGCTGGAATCATACGTGACCTGTGAGGTCATCCGTGCGTAAAAGAGGAGTGTGTACATCCAGGTAATTTATCCCTTGGGTATTCGGACTCTGATCAGGGGGTTGCAGTCAGCAGCTAAATTTTCAGTGATATGCCTTCAGATGTTTTAAGTTCACATCGAGAAACGGTAAAAATGTGTCTGAGCCACGTCAACATAGGCTTCCTTTTACGTTAATGTGAATTTGGAAAACATCAAGAGGAACAATAGTAAATGGTTATGTCGATAAATCGAATCAGGGTCGTCAAAAAGCGTCCTGGATGTCACCTAACGTTATCAAATGATCCAGAAATAGCATTTGCTATTTGAAAAAAGCCTGATGTGTGTTGTCATAGACAGCACAGATTTTGGTCCGTTGGAGCCATGTAAACAGGAGTTCGTTTTTGGTAGAGGTTGTTTCCGACCACTTTCAGTCCAGCAATCCATCAGATTCTAATACGACCTGTTGCAGTGCACCATAAATCACTCCAGAAATCTCATCCTTTTTCTTCAATTCTCCAGTGAACGCCCTCAAATTACTATCCTCCTGAGCTCTTTTTTCACTCACACACACACACACTTTACCATGGCTCCTTAATTTATCAGCTATCCTAGTTCGCTCTTCAGGAAGCGAATCGCCCCAGAAGCGGTCGTTCTTGATCGCAGTGAAAAGCTATATCTTGAAATGTTGGTTGATTTTGGGGGTTAAAGACACTCCACCAGACAGGGTAGTTTGTTTTACATTGCCATTACTGAAAACATAACGTCTCATTGTACTTTCCACTGAAAATAGTTCTTCAGCGCCAACCGAAAACAGGACGTGTCCGGCCTGAATATGTTGATGCCACATGCTGTTAGATATTCCTACCAATCAGCTTGTTTGCCCTTTTTATTTTGTTTCCTTAGGTTTGCATTACTGTTCTCCCCATTTTACCGCGAATACTTAGGCCATAATCTGGAGATCTTTAAATAAATGATCTCGCGTTTTTATTTCGGAAAGGGAATGTTCATCAAATCTATTCTCATACTATTTTGTTGCTTGTCACATCTTGATAATCTAGTACGAATCTATCACAGTCTCGGTGTCCCACTGAGGGTTTCGCCCGCAATGTTTAGGTGTTTGAGATATTACTTGCGGTCGAATATGTCTTGCCTCTTTCCACCTACTAATGCGTCGGTGCATTTTTAGAACTGCTCTCTGCAATAGGACTGCGCAAACTGTGGGACAGTCTCTGCCGGATCTCCGTCAGTTGCTCATAGCGGCTTGCATAATGTCACCCAGATGAGCGTCTCACGCCGAACTGCACGGACATCAAGCGAACACTTAGAGTTACAACCAAGTTCCTTTCCATGGGTGGCGCCCCGATACGTTCAGTTCCAGTTAAATTCACCTCGAAAAACACCCAACAAAGTGGAACGTCCACTCGCTGACACTGCACACCGCACCCGCCTGACCAATTTTATAGGGCGCCATCAGCCAGAACAATAGAGTCCTGAGTAATTTGTTCCAAAAGTTGGACATGTGATTTTATCACCACTATGCCTCTTTCCTACTTATTCAAGCTTATCATCACTAATCTAACAAATACTGCTTGTGTTGGAGACTGGTAGTGACTAACAACAAGAATGCAGCACATGTATGCATTCGCCGTGGTCGAGTGGAAAAAAATGTTTATTAATTTGTTGTTTTTCATTTTCAGTGAGAAATATAACCCCCTCCCCTGGGCATGCAAATTTGTCGGACCCCAACTGTGTTGGGTCAATGTGTGATAAACGGGAGTTCTCTCATGGCACCAAATAAATTTCCACTTGCAGGACATCCTCCCATTACACGGTGGTCGGGCGTTCTTCACAATTTCCCCCGACTGAGTGCATTTCGAACTGTTTGTTGGAAATAATGCCTAGTACCACCTAATTACTGGCATATGCCTGATCAGCCAGTAGGTACACGAGTAAATACACATTGACCGCGTACCATTCCGACGAAAAGAAACTCGAATATCAGAGGCAGTTAGTTTCACAGGGTAATAATCTCGAGAAATTATAAATTCTAAACACCAAGGGTGCTAAACAGATCCTACCAGAACACATTCCTGCCTCAGGGTTTTCTGTTTCCAACGCATCTCATTAAGAACTCTCATTCTTTGTAGGCGTTTGAACCGTCGCTCAAACTGTCTGAGTAAAGGGAAGTCTGACGGTTTTCGAAGCCTGACTCAACCATAACCAGTGGAACAGAAGGTGGCTTTGAATCATCAAACAATAGTCTCTTTATTATTCGGCAATTGTTGGCATGTAAACTAAACATAGAGGGGACCTTCACAGTAACTTCAACAAGATTGCGAAAATGAGGTCCACAATGTTCACAAGATACCTAACAGTACGTTGAGCCTTGCCATGATAATTGGCACTGGGGATTTAGATTTGTAATTATCTTTATCGCATTGTTCCACATTGTTCCCAATCGCACGCGGTATTGATGATTTCCCGTAAGGCCGGAAAGTCAATGTCTATGAATGATGAGAAGTGATGACCATTCTCTTTTTAGATTAGATTAACTGGCAGACACTCTGTCACAAAGAATCAAAATATTCTATCGTCTCTCTTTCAGTTCTTTCTCGTCCTTTCTGAACGCATAACAGGACGTCATTTTTCAACAGAAAGACCATTGTTTGCTGTTTTAATATCAGTCTTCGTACGTTATCCATACAGTGGGCCACCAGGAAGATGCCTGTCCCGGAAGGGATGGTAACAGGAGACTGTAAGCGAGATGTACCAGTAGTCTTCTGGGTAGTTACCTGTCATCCCTCGTGCCGGTATGGAATGATCAACTGCTTGAAACCTAGAACCTTTGGCCCACCCCCCTGGTGCTGCGAATCGATTTTATATGTACTCTGTCATGTCGCAAACAGTACCGATAATCATTGGACTGGATTCCAAGCATACTAAACTGACGTGGATTATGCATTAATCGTACGATCAATTCATGCATCCACTGACATACTAGAGACAGCATAGAACCATCCACCCTCATGAACGACTGACACCGTAAGAACCCATTGTCGGAATTGCTAATAATTGGTGGATAGGTCAATTCCCTTCTGATTTAGTTCCCCGTCCCACAGAATCGTTAAATTTCACTTCGCGGAATGTAGGAAATAAAAAATCCTTCAAGTTAACTCAATTTAATATTTCATGATCTCACCTAATCCAGAAACAAGTTTGCACAAATTTGTGTTTGTTTTGTTCCATTTTTCAGTCTTATCGTCCCAGAGGCCGTTTACCGATGTGTTTCTGAGCGATGTATGTGCGTGTCACGTCACCCACAAAGGATTCAACAATCCGTGTGCAGTTCAACTTCAAACGAAGCCCGGCATCTTGCGAGCGGAGCGAGCTAACAGAACTTAAACCGTCTGGTACGGAGCAGTCAATTAAACAAGCACTGACTCGTTCGTTTGTTCTCGTCTGCCAACCTGCACCGAATGCTTTCGTCCTCGTTTCGCGTACCACCCAGACTTGTCGTAACAACGCTCAGCACGCAGGTGACGAATGTGTAGACCCAACACCACTCGGTTCGGTTCGCAGACGACCTCGTTTTCATGTTGTCATTGGTCCGCAACTTTGCAACTGTCAAGATTATCCACCAGCTGATGACAGCAGTCCAAGAAGACCAGCTGAGTCGGTTCCCAGAGTGGTCCCACCGGTCAACCAACCCTGTGTCCACGTGCTATTTGTAATGCTTCGAATTTTAAAAATTTCCGCGGATGATCCGTGCTTGCTGAATGTCCCACTTCCTACCAGCAAGGTAAGTTGTCTTAAGCCATCCCTATGATTGACTGGGTAAAAGTAGGGCCTCTCGGTAGATTAAGCACATCTAACTGGGTAATCGCAATGAATGCAGTAACCACAGCGGTGTTTTTTTTACTCCTGTTGTGACAAGGCTTCTGACCTCACTAATTCTCCGTCGTCTTATAGTGGCACGCGAAGCCTTCACTCATGAGAATCGGTGGGGTTGGACAGGGTAGAAGCTGTGTTGACCATATCTCCACACTCCGTCAGGTGTTAGAGCAGCGCCGTATGTACAGACGACCCACAATTTTGGTGTTCCATGACTTCAAGAGTGCGTTCGACTTCGTCGATCGGTCATTGCTGTCAACTACACTTGCTCAACAGGGTATGCTCTAGCAGCTTGTGAGAATAATTCAGTCCTTATATTCACATACTCCAGGGCGTGTGATAATGTATGGTGAGCTCTCCAAAGGCTTCCCTACAAAAAGTGGTGTCTGACAAGGACGTCCACTCTCTCCGTTTTTGTTCAACTTCGTCGTTGATGAAATACTGAGGTGAGCGCTGGAAGGTCTTCGAAACTCCGGCGTTCAAATTGCTGCTGTTGAGAGCCTTGTCAATTTGGAGTATGTAGACGACATCACCCTCATCTTTGAAGACCAAGGTGAAGTACAAGCCCTGTTGAGTATACTGGCCATCATAATGTCATCTTTTGGCATTAACCTGGCACACTCGAAGTGTTTTAGAACGTAGTCTCCGGACATACCCCTCCCAATTCAGTTTCTTTCCAGATTGCCTGATTGAGCGCTTGAAAGTGTAGGCACCTCAGAACGCTTGATACAGGCCAGCACTAGGTCTCCTCCCCCACCCACTCTTTTTCTCTTCTTTTCACTCTAAGGCGCTAAAGATAACCATAAATAAACTTTATGGTTGTACAGCAGTGAACCACTGGTGTCAACACTGATGTTGCTGTCTCTTTATGATGATGATGATGATGACTGGATAATTGAGGACGATATCGTACACTGTCTAGCCCACTTAAATTAACCTATACCAGTGGTAATTTAAACGACACATCCGCTTAGGCTATTGATTGGTGCATTACATCCCGGTCAGCTGATAATGCGGAATTATCTCAGCAGCTTTAGAGGCCCTGTCAAAGTCGATGTTTATCCACCGGTTAGGAATCACACCTGTTGTCATTTGACTCTTCCACTGTAACCCCAGTTCGCACTACTGGGTGCTCCTACACACGCATGCACATGCATAAGGAATGGATTTCTCTCAGCAACTATTCTAGTAGTTTAGCGAGTAATTAGTTAAGGAAGTGTTGCATGTTGTGTGAAAATTATCGAAACAAGTGAGAAGAAAACATGCAAAACTGGCTTCCAAAACAGTTGCGAATGGTTCTAAGTTATCTGGAACAGTAAAATAATAATTTATAATACGCAACGCCGAAAGTTGACGTCATTAACCCAAGTTAGTAGATCGGATTTGGAGATCGTCCTAGCATGAGGAGGAATTTATTTTGGATGACACCGATCATCAGAGGTTGTGCTGCAATGGTTTGTGAAAAGACTATCAATGCCGTTCCACACAGACTTGGTCGGTCTGAGTGCAAGACTTCACATCAAATGAGCCCACAAAAAACACGGTACTTCCCAACAAGATAATGAGTTGTGCCCCATCGAACATCGATGTTCATCAGTAACAAGGTGACTATGCCGAAAACAATTTTCACGAAGTGTACCGAGTCTGTGCTCACCCTCAACGAAAGAAGGGACAAAAACCGACGTTTGTGCTTGAGAATTTCATAAGAATAGTATGCTCAAAAACATTCTGTTGACTAGTTGTGCAAGCCGATTGAAACCTGAGTGGTCTTCAATTTATTTCATGATTGTATCGCGCCACGTACATCGCTGCGTTCAAAAATGAACTATAAAATATGTCCACGGTTAGAAATCGTTCCAAATTCGTACGCCTTCTTTCGTAAAAGCCATTTTTTCACTCCACAAGTTGGTTCAGCCGTCTCCGAAAGATATAAGCGGTCCAATTCCCACACACAACTATTTTACATCATTATACATTTAAGTGTGTTGTGGTTCGGAATTTTTGTCTCATCAGATTATGAAAACATCCACATCTAAATTGCTGTCAATTAGAGCCGTCTAGGTGAAAATCTTTCGTTGGTATCTGGTGACCTTTCTTCCAATTTTAACAGACCATTCATGCCGACCTACTGGGTTTGGTGGGCTGCAGAAGTTTGAAACGGATTTCTCACGATCTTTGCCTGTCTGTTTAATGGCTTTTCCCTAAGACTTCCCTCCAATACCCAGAGCTACCTGCTACTGCCGCTACTAACATCAGTTTTTCATCGACTGCTTGACTGAGATTTTTTGAATACCCATTGTTAACCCTCCCCATTATTCTCCAAACTCATCGGGCAGCGTGAACACGAACTAGTTAAGTTCAATCCACTTTAGCCAGCAAACACTCCACAGTGCCACAGCATGACAAACCACCTAGAGCTAATTGATCCGCTTAATTCCACAGTGGTTTCGCTGTTACTTCCACTTCTCGATTGACCTTGTCTTCTTGTCTGGCCTTGATGTGTCCATATGACGAACGTAGGTGGTCATTCTGTCCAAACCGTCCGCAGAAATAGCTCACCCACCACGACAGTGTGACCCATATGAGACTAGCTTGAAAGGATCACCTCCACCAGGTTGATTGTTCGCACATGCCTCTGCAATGTCGTTTACAGAGTAAAACCCGGTTCATGAGCTAATCCTGATGACATTCTGGACAGACTGCTGTTGTATGTTGCTGTGTATGCCAGTTGAAGAAGCATACGGAAACCTCTTTCCCTTAACGCTCAACGAGCATTGTTTTGTTTTCGTTCATGCTTCTACCCACTCCGAATGACCTTCCCAGAACCAGACAGACCTTCGTCATACCATGTATGTGACCTTAGCGCAGCCACGTGACGAACACAAATGTTTATTCTGTCTAAACCCTCACACCACGTGAGTGCATGACCGGAAAAGGAAGGAATCATGTGTCAGCGACCATGTTAGTTCGCAATCTTAATCCTGTCGCGATTGGATTCTCTGAAGCGTGCACACGTTTTGCGCTTACTCGTATAGATAAGGCTCGAAACGATCCATCAAGAAAGCCTACGTACACATGAATAGATGAGCTTGTTGCTGTTTTTGAGCGATATTCAGAGTGTTTTCAGTCAAGCTGCCAACTCATCCTGAATAAACCCTGTGTTCGTGAAAACGATCAGTTTTTGCGTTACCTAACTTTTAGTTCTGATATCTGGTGGCCTTAGGAAAGTCATCAGATTCGCAAAACAAGCGGTGATCTTCATCAGTAATGCTTTTTTAAAGGGAGAACGCCCGATAAAAAGTGAAATCTCAATACTAAAGTCAAATGTAGGTGAACGAAAGAATTGTTCCTGATAGTCCACGACAATGTCTCGGTTTTTCTCCCTAAGAGAAGACCCGGACATCTTTATCGCTTAACTAGCTCGTTAACAAGTTCAGCTGGTTAGTGTCGCTGTTCATAAGCCTACTGAATAAATCAACTACTTCAAATGCAGCGGAACTGGTTTTGTTCTATTCGACATTCAGTGGCACATCGTTTCCTATATCACCTCTATATAGGTGAACACACCTCTCTTATACTGTACACCTTCCAGTATTCTTTAATTTGGAAAGTACCCTGAAATAGCTTATCTAGAACCTCCTCGTTTTTGTTTATCGTGCTACCAAGGTCACAGGAAATTAATACCTTTCAGCTCCAGTCTTTGTTGGCCTTCCACCTGCATGTACGCTTATTTCACGCAAGACCAACTTCCCGACCTGTATTCAGCTTTCTGTCCCGTTCTCCATTACTACTCAATGTTCATTCCTGCTCCATCTTTTTCTTCCCGGTGTCGTTTGATCGCGTTCTGTTAGCCTTTTTTGATGCGCCCCTGCGGATGTGAGAACAAATGCATATTGCTATTGTTAGTACCATATCACTATGAGCTCAAGTTATAATGAGCTCTCCGCGGAGATGGTCAGTAAACGAACGGCTGGTTTCGAGTTATTGTCAACATACAAAACTAATTCGAAGGATGTCTCACTGAATGCTCGACCTAGATCATATGTGTAGGGAGAGTTGGATGATTGTCTACTGGCAGGTCCATCCCTCTGAATTACAGCCTGAACAGCCCTATAAAAGTATATCCTACAGAGACGGCGAATAAATGAAACCCATTGCTCGTCGGAAATGTGCATTGACCAATAAGCCACTGCCATTTAAATGGGCTGCAACATCTTGCAAAAATCTGAAGTGGTACCTGGCCGTGTACTTTTGTGAACCTCTTCACCTCAGGCCTGCTGCAAGCCTGTCAAGTTAGGGAGCAACCATTCGTTACTTACGGTTATTAAGGCACTTGTGCCTGTGCTTTCCACCTAATCTTACTTTTCACTTTCTTGCCATATAGCTTGACTACATTTTTGCACATTAGTTTCAAATCACACCTTCACAACGGCCCACAATGGTGGAAATCCCAGCACGATCAGTTGAAACTTCTACTCAGTAATTCTTCCAGCAGAGTTCAGGATTCCAGAAACTCAATCTGGCTGCACGGCCGTGCTGAGCCAATCATCGTTATGCGCTCCAATCGAATACCCGTTCACTGGAGTTTTTTCTACCCTAGGTTTTCGAATCCCCCCTTGTCTTTCACGATCACTCATCTTGATATCTTCATATATACAGGACTTTTTCTTATCGGCCCTACTTTCACCGACATGCCAATAGCTCATCGTAGCCGTTACCTCTTGATTTCCCTGAGATCGAGTGGATTAAGCAGCATTGCGCGCAGATACTTATCAGCGGACGAAGCCGTTCCAGTGGCAAGCCTGCTTCGGTGCTATACTCCAAGTTAAGTTCGGTCGGGAACTTTGGTACTCAGGTTGATCTGTTCACTGAATTGGAATTGCACTTTGATGTATCGCTAAACTGAGGCGCTCGCCAAATCTAATGCGCGTTGGTGAGTGCACGCAGAGTGACCAAGTTTGTGTCCGAGTTAACCAGCTCACCGAAAGGAATCAAAGACAAGGTCTGACACTCAAATGCATATGAACTTGGAATCCTTTGGATCTCTTCGAGATCTAAATTTCTGGATGATCCATTCGGCATAGTCCTCTTCAGACGTTTGAGAGTATAGACACAGATACTTGAGTTGAAAAGACGAATCGGGACTCCCTTCAGGATGTCTGGCTGATCGCCATTTAAAAGCACACGCCTTAAGTGCCAGGGTTGCTGTAGACCTTCAGTGAAAGGGTCAGTTAGATTACGTCCGGGTAAGCGGTTAAAATCTCCGCATAAAAAGGAAACCAACCTTGTGCACGCACCACCAGGGTCAATGTTCGGTCTGTGTGTATTGTTTGGCTGAGTACTTTAGCAGCTGATTTGGTTCCCGTCTATACATAGCGGGATCAGCAGGTCGAGAACAGCATGTTCTACGAGACAACAATACTAATACATATAGGCGAAGAGAAAAAAGCCTCCCTCTGTTTGAGGCTTCCTTGTGGCTTATTCAACCGACCACTTGCAAAAGAGAGTCCTTCGAGGAAACTTGAACCTTAAAAGATTGAAAAGTTTCATGTAACTTTCCCCTACCTAGCATTGTCCCCCACTCTCTTATTTGTTTTGGGTATCTTGCCCACCTATGAGCTACGCACTCTGTTCACAACGAACCAGTTTGTCCGTGTTCTTGACATACGGCACCTCTTAAAGTTGCTAAAAACTCTTTGGCGACCCACTGCTGACTTCGCCTTTCTTTCGGCTCGTCAGGTAGGCATAGACAACAATACTAATACATATAGGCGAAGAGGAAAAATCCTCCCTCTGTTTGAGGCTTCCTTATGGCTTATTCAGCCGACCACTTGCAAAAGAGGGTCCTTCGAGGAAACTTGAACCTTAAAAAATTGAAAGAAAAGTTTCATGTAACTTTCCCCTACCTAGCATTGTCCCCCACTCTCTTATTTGTTTTGGGTATCTTGCCCACCTATGAGCTACGCACTCTGTTCACAACGAACCAGTTTGTCCGTGTTCTTGACATACGGCACCTCTTAAAGTTGCTAAAAACTCTTTGGCGACCCACTGCTGACTTCGCCTTTCTTTCGGCTCGTCAGGTAGGCATAGCTCCGAGTTTCCATCAACCTCATGTTCTAAGTGAGCATCAAGCTGTACCACATCGAAAAAGTGCTCTCGTTTTCAAATCGCATTAGTGTAAACGGTAGAGTGACTGAAGCTCTCGTTTACGAGCTTCAACCGACTGCTACACAAAGGCCGCCTCATGTTGCAGTTGATACAATATTCAAAACATCACGGTATATTTTCTTGACATGCCACACTACTTATACGGTTTCTGAAAAGTCTTCGACAGCCGATTACAGTTTTCGCTCTTCGTGGGGCTTATCGGGTAGCCCAACTCCAACAACTATGATTGCTGGTTTTCAAATTAAGTGTTGATTTTCGAAAAGAGCTGGTATAACTGATCAACAGTGATAGTCTGGAATATACTAATGACCCACATCCCCGGAACAGAAACTCTAAAAGAGTTTGTAAAATCAGAGCAATTTTACCATGCAATATCGGCTATGAATGAATGCATATCCGTCCTCCAGCCTGTCGGGATTCGTTTTGTTTGTTTGCCTGACCTCTGCATACATCAGAAAACCCTACACATATTTCACCTAACCGGTCCACTAGCTGAAGTTTACCTTTTTTATGTTGGTTTTGTGTTGCGTAGGGCCTTTCAAGGATTCTGTGTCGATCTTCCTGTGGCTGTCTTATCCTGATATAATGCTCAGCTGCAGTTATTTTCACTTTTTTCGAGAGTATGACTACGAGGCGCCTGATCGCTTTCCACAAGGGTTTGGAACTTCCTGAATTAAGCTCTTGTCATCTCTAATTCACCCCTCATCGGGGCACCCTTGTTTTATTGTCGTATTTTAGTTAAGCGTCAGTAACTGGTGCTGATATATTGCTTTTATTAGTACTTTTTATATGCTTGAGAAAATCCACACGGACACAAGCCTTATTTCCACGGATAGGTCATTGAAGGGTTAGCTTCTTGCTTCACTGTGACGATTTAATTTCCAGTCTCATCCTGCCTAGGCTATCTTCGGTTTCAGTTGCAGTAACAATTTCACAGTGCCCGAATACCTCCTTATGTTATCTTTGTTTGCTCTCTCAGGCCGAATCCCTGATTCATCAATATCAGAATTCAAAGCTCACACGGAGATGTGAACTACCGAGAGGACACAAATGCTCTCTTATCTCTGTATCTGATGTTGACTCTAAATCTGCTACCACAGGTGCGATGAAGGAAACACAAACGCTCCTACCGCTCGCCATGCCAAAAGCTATTTACCCACATCGCTCCGGCATTAACTCGCCTCGTACACCCCAACTACTTGCTCTGCTCAACGAAAAAGTTCAAAATTCTCCAGAGTGTCAAGAGCTCTCGACTTTAACCAAGGACATCAAAGCTGTATCTCGACTGGATAACGAAAGTGCAGGTGCTACGATCGACAGTGGCAGCACCAATCCGACAAGCACCACACTGTCACGGACCAGTTCTTCCGATAGTGTTGAAGGGTCGCGACTCCAGGCAGCCAGCGCGTATAATCTAGAGGAGAGCGGGGATGGTTCTGCGCAACGACGCCCACAAACAGCACCACAATCTGACCCTCCTCTGAAAATAATGCGTGGGAGGGCAGTTTCTATGAGGCAGGTCCTTTTCAGTTAATCTTCTCTTCCCGAGTTCGGTGGAATGTCTGTTGTGACATCTACCACCATCTGACTGTAACGTCTCAAGTTCAGATAAGAAGCACATAACAGTGAGACGACCTGACAAGCGTAAGAGACATGAATTACCAATAATAGCAATAGTAATAATACTCCGAAACCCATAAGACCCTAAGCTGGGGGCGGCCTGTTTAAACGTGAATAGCTATCACATTGAGGCAAACTTGGGGGAGGGGCGGCGCATAGCATGAATCGTGTTCAGAGGAAAACAAGAGTAGATGCAAACCCAGATACGGAAAACGTTCATCATTGTCTTTTTGGAAGCAAAGTTTACTAGTGTTTGTTGTTGCACAGTCATGGCGGATACAAAGAACTCAATAAGGAAAATTTTGATTGGTTCCACTAAAATAGTATGTATATACGTAAGGTTGCTGAAAATTCGTCGACAGCCCACGACCGGTTTCGTCCTTCTTAGGGCTCATCAGTTAGACGCAGTCCCCGAATTCCCAGTAACCTTTAAATTCTACTTGAAACTGCTCGTTTGCTCAGAAACATCATAAACGAGAGATTCAGCTGGGTTCCAGGTGAGTCTCTCGCAAAACCAAATTTGTTTGCAAATGAGTGTATTTCGCTAAAACAGCATGCTTTCACATCTAACAAACAATGAATCCAGCAATGTTTTGGACACAGTTGAATCGCTATATCCCGAATGGGCATTCAGTGAATAAGAGAATAAGACCTATCTTTTTTCTTTCAGTGTGCTTTATCACTTGAGTTTCGGCGCACACTTCGCTTTTCTCATTCTGGCGGATATTCGAGGTCCTCATGATTTCAACGAAACTCATATCCTCATTCATCATCATAAGTCTTGTGTTGAGTGATATTTCGGAAAATACTTACCGCGACCAGTGGGCTCTTCCATACTCACACTGTCTCCCCCTCAATACATCACCTACGCTCTGTCGTTGTGAGAGAAACATTGTCCTTCGAAGTACTGATCAGGGAAAAATCCCATAACTGCATACATAGATCACAAGGTGTACCTCTAAAATCATCCTCCGTTCTGTTTACACTTGGACTTCTCCATCAACTGGGTAGTCCTCCCTTAAGTCCACTCGTTAAGTTTACAAGTAAAACGTAAAGTGTGACCCTTCGCTGATTAACGACGTTGAAGCGTTTCATACCCTCAATTGCATTCCATTACGTGTCCGGTTTTTTACAACTTATTAGAAGACATGAGGTAAGCATATTAGAACTGTCAAATAGAATTGCATTTGCTTTTTGACTCAAGAGTAATACTTCGTAGGAGATAGACTTCACAATCCACGAGACGGCATATTTCATCACTTTCCCCATGCCTCAGCGTGCCAGTTTTGATTGTACAGTTATGCTATCAAACGAAGCATGCAACTGTAGACAGTGATTGGTGCTCTGAATTTTCGAACGACCCGCATCCGTATTGCGATGCGCGGTCGAGGGAGTCATACGGGCAAGTGAGACTGTTGAGTTATTGTCAAGCATCAACTTGCCGACGCCAGAAATACCGAACAGTTTGCGAGGCACCACTGACCTTTCAGACACATGATTCATCGGTTTTTTGTTGTCTCCACCCTCTATTTGTCGAGCATTGAACGCAGCGTACACAACAGTGGCTTAGCTCCGACAGAGTGCAACATCAGCGGGGAAGCCATGCAGCTGATGACAGCGGTGTAAATGCCTCATAAAAAGGCAGCTAACCGCATTGCTGGTTCTTACCAGCACACGCTTCGCAATCAACACGCGCCGATTGTCACAACCGTTGCACATGACTGTAACGTAGATGACGGTGTCAGCAAACGTGGACCAGCAACGAGGATACGCGACCAAGGGGTGGTGTTTTTGTCTCCAGGGCGGTGTTACAAGCGCGATACGAAGTTATTTATTTGCTGCCCGCCAGTAGGTGATGAAGCGCGAAAAAGGAGGTTTTTGCCAGATGGTAGTAACTGATAGTCCTGGTTGCTGGGTCAGCTGGCTGTAACTATTCATGCTATACTTTATCCCTTTTTGGACGAATTCTGTTTTGGTGCGTGCACCATATTAGCGTGTCACTATATCAGCGACTTAGCAACTTAATGTGCTGCACCAGACCGCCTGAGAACATCACAAACGAGAGATTCAGTTGGGTTCTAGGTGATTCTCTCGAAAAACCAAATTAGTTTGCAAATGAGTGTATATTCGCTAATTTCATGCAATTTGGTTCAAAGTAGGATATAAGGTTGACAGAAACTCGGCGACTACGTCTACCCGATGAGCCCCAAAAAGGGCGAAACCGGTGGTGGGCTGTCGACGGATTTTCAGCAACCTTATGAGTAGTACAAAGATATATGTCACCATATTTAGTTTGGGTGACCAAGAATTAAAACAGGTCGAACTCAACAGGGATATTGATAGTAGTTATTTTAACTTGGGGTTTAGTAAATCTCAAAATCTTAGTGGTCCTTCCCCAAAACAAGTGATGAACTTCTGAACCGTTTGTTTCATTGCTCCTGAGATCATTGCATGTTGACAGGGAAATCCGGAATGCCACACAGCTTACCTTTCCAAAAAATCGCTACCAATCAGGCAGTTTAGGGTAATTCTTTGTTAACTGCCACTGAATAGCCTAAAGCCCGCTTAGTGCTAGTCAACGCTAAGTAGTGGAGTAATATTGTGGCAAGGTATTCAAATTGGGCTGATCTTTGCTATGAAGTATAGGAACAGTTTTGATCGAGTCATGTGAAAGTAATTGTATGAATAATCGTACACGTATGGTACAGAGACCAGGCAATGGATGCACCTTTCATCAATCAAAGGTTATAGCTGCAGCTGGCCGGCTGTCTGAGAGTTGACCAAGTCCCTTTGAACGCAATCGTTATGGGCACTAGGCGGAATACGCGCGCTTCACCAGCCGAAGTAATGTTACAAGGTCAAGCTCAGTCCATGCCAACCGCTTGTTTCATTGCTCCTGAGATCGTTGCATGTTGACAGGGAAATCCGGAATGCCACACAGCTTACCTTTCCAAAAAATCGCTACCAATCAGGCAGTTTAGGGTAATTCTTTGTTAACTGCCACTGAATAGCCTAAAGCCCGCTTAGTGCTAGTCAACGCTAAGTAGTGGAGTAATATTGTGGCAAGGTATTCAAATTGGGCTGATCTTTGCTATGAAGTATAGGAACAGTTTTGATCGAGTCATGTGAAAGTAATTGTATGAATAATCGTACACGTATGGTACAGAGACCAGGCAATGGATGCACCTTTCATCAATCAAAGGTTATAGCTGCAGCTGGCCGGCTGTCTGAGAGTTGACCAAGTCCCTTTGAACGCAATCGTTATGGGCACTAGGCGGAATACGCGCGCTTCACCAGCCGAAGTAATGTTACAAGGTCAAGCTCAGTCCATGCCAACTTGTGTTATGGCAGAGACGGACACAATCCCACCCCGCACACCCAACTGCACGCTTCACCTATGTTCTGACAACTAAGCCAGTCATCTGTGGCATGCATGGGTCAGCTCAAGCTACCAGTTAGTTTTGCTCTGCTATTTCCCTTGATGTGGGTGGACCCCCTTCATAGAAGGAGGCAAGTGATGCCAACTGTGTCGCACGCCCTCTATATTGACGTAATGAAGATCCAATCATGTCGGTAATTGAAACAGATTCTATTTATGTGATGAAATTTTCTTTTCATCTGGGAAAACACAGCTAGGTGTTCCGTAAATTGATTGACGAGTTCATAGTGGCGTGAAAAGATTCGATAATTTTCAACTGAAATTTCATCTCATAAGTCAGTCTATACTGAAAAGCCACGAAGCACTACGCAGCTCTTTCATCCCTATTGGGAATCAACAGCAGTGAGAAACTCCTGCAGGGAGTTTCGTACCCGCGACCTCCCGGCCAATACTTCGAACACTTAGCCGTTCGGTCACAAGTGGCTAATCAGCAGTGTGACTAACTTACATTTAAACGGGGTATAGTGTCACGCATCCTTTATTCACGGGAAACACATCACGTAGTACTGACTAGCTCCTCAAGTGACTTCTCAGACTGGAGCTTCATTCATCTTGCGAAATTACTATCCCTCTAGATTACTTAGAGACTGGGAAATGTCGATGTACGGTGATCACCAGCTTTCGTCGTCTGAGTCATTAGTAACACGTTATTTTCGTATTGCCTACCCAAAATTTAATGAGAACTGTGAAACAAGGTGACTTATGACGAAGATTACCCCAGTCTTATAGCAACAAAAGCCTACTTACTTGAAAGCCGATGAGTATCGAGTTTTCATGCTTTGCATCACCCTGCGTCCCACCTCCATAACCTTCAATCAGTATTGTAAGTCTGATATATTTCTAACAATACTCTAACTTGCATGACAAACCCAGTCCAGTTCAGCAGAGAAAATCCTGAGGCGCGAAATCGCAAGTCGCCTCCATTTTTAAGGAGGAATTAAGAATTCAAGTTACAGCCCCCAACTTGGAGGACCAAATGGCCGAAATCGCAAGTCGCCTCCATTTTTAAGGAGGAATTAAGAATTCAAGTTACAGCCCCCAACTTGACCAACCAAATGGCCACTGACTAACCTGGTATGAGGGACTCTGTAGGTGTCACACGTACATGTATAGCTCAGTGAATCATGGAGGTGCACAAGCCGTCATACCACGGTAAGATGCAGTCTCTTCGTGAAGAAATAACACAGATGGACGGCTAGTTTGCCCTTAATTTCGTGGCACTCCAATATTTCCAAGGTTTGTTACACCTAATTAAGACTTCTTCGCAAAGAATACTTGGCTCTTATCTTTGCTTTGGTAAACTCTATTACTGAGAGGATCAAATCACAGTCTTCAGCTATGTTATATACACTCATAAGCCCTTACTTTCCACAAGAACTCTTCATTTTATATCTTTGTAATATACTACTCATAAGGTTGCTGAAAATCCGTCGACAGCCCACCACCGGTTTCGCCCTTTTTGGGGCTCACCAGTTAGGCGCAGTCCCCGGGTTTCCGTCAACCTTATGTTCTACTTTGAACCAAATTGCACGAAATTTGCGAATATATACTCATTTGCAAACTAATTTGGTTTTTCGAGAGGCTCACCTAGAACCCAACTGAATCTCTCGTTTGTGATATTTTTCGGGCAACTGAATGTGCTGCACCAGGCCGCCTTATGTTTCAGTCGCTACGATATTCGACATATCGCGATACATGTAATGTATCTGCTGTATGTATGTATGTATCTGCTGAAAATCCGTCGACAGCCCACAACCGGTTTCGCCATTTTAGCTGATATTGTCTCACCGCTCGTATTTTTTTAATATCGTGGTTATACCAGTGCTCAGCGGTTTCTAATACTACTGAAAAATAGACTGTAAGTGATGTTTTATGAGCCGGTTGTTCATACTGTGACCTTATTTGACCTTTTTCCCTCAAGGCATGCGTGCTCCACCACCTTTCGTCCAATTGGTGACCTCAGTCCGGAGGAAGACAGGAGATTGTCTCCGATCAAATCGGGAGATATCAGTGCACACAGTTGTTTGCGGTTTCGTTCTGAGATAAAACAGCATCCATACGAGACGTTACGTCAGACACAACAAGTACAATCTAACAGTTCTTCCGGCATAAGTCCGCAACAGACTCCCATCTTTCGACATGTTGTACACAGTCCGTTCAAACCTGTGATTCGTCCATCTCCCTCAACCTGGACTGAAAATAGTCCGCGTGTCCCGAAGGGACAGGAATGCGTCAAGTCCAGCACAGAAGAGGACAGCACACAACTGCCAACGGATAGCGGGATGCAAGCTGAACCTTGTGCACTCTGTCTCGAAACCCTTGAAGGTGACAGATCACAAGACAGCAATTTAGTTCGCTGCCGCTCAGCTGATGCACCACAACGTTGTCTGGCAACATTCCACCTGACCTGCTGTCAAATTTGTAAGTCACTTTGGCAAAGTTTTTTTACCAACGTTGTTAAATGTAAGCTAAGCAAACTGATGTCTGAGGCATGAGATCACATCGATTTCCAAAACAGTGTGCTTTCTTCGATGGCTACGAACGGCCCAAATAAATTGCAAAAATCATCCAACGGCAATCATTTTCCAGCATGCACTTCAAAAGCCACTGTATTTTATGATTTCATCTTTTAAATCTATTGCTACCTCTGCACTTGAGGGCTTATGAAAGTGAGAACATCTGCATTCGACCCAAAATGTGAAATCCTAAGAATGACCTATCTTTCTACTACTGGCTACCCATCCTTCCCTTTTAAGCAAGCTTCTCTCCTGGATTAGTCCATACCATAGCGTTCGCCTATGGCTTCAGTAGGAATTTCCAATCTGTTCAGTTGACCGTTGAATCCACTCCCTACTCCAACAGGTTAGGGAGGAAATGGATATGTTCGCAATCAACTGACACCTTTGCAGCCCTGATTTGATGCAGTGCTTGGACTAGGCTAAGTAATTTTTGCGGATTGGTTAGCTGCTTTGGCTACCATTCGGAAGCCAGTTCACTTTCTCTTTTCGATTCATGCAGATCACACTCTTCCCTAGTAGGCCGTAGATTTCATCTTCATGTACACTCGCTCATCTGTTTCTCCTGATTTGCGTCGAGTCTGGAGTGGAGAGTTTTTAAAGGTTTTCTGTCGAACCAGATCGGTGTGATTGTCAACATAATTACTCCCGTACCAAAATTTGGGTGAACATTATCTGTATTGTTGTTGAAACCTTTTTAAACTCCAGTCCATGAAATATAGAATGAAGATTCTTAGGGCATCCGCTTGTAGTTGCATTCTGACCGCTCACCAAGTCTTAGAGCCTAAGTGTAAGGTGTGTTGTAAATGTGATTTTCTTTTATTTGTAATGCACTACTCATAAGGTTGCTGAAAACTCCTCAACAGCCTGAAAACATCAAAACGGAGAGATTCAGCTGGGTTCCAGTTGAGTCTCTCGCAAAACCAAGTTTGTTTGCAAAGGAGTGTACTTCGCTGATTTTCTTTCACTTTGGTCTCTATGTCATCAGGGGCGATATGAAAGTAAAGTGTTCTCTCGACGATACCCCCAATCTGATTTGGGAATGGTCTTTCTAATGAGGAAGCTTGTCGAAAGTCCACTGAATGCAAGACATGTTCTGTCCTATGCTAAATATAGTTTTCGACACTTACGCCAAGTTCAGCTATTTATTCCCACTGTAGTACCTGTTGCGAACCCCGAATACACTCGTTGGAGTCGATACCAAAGTTGACAGGGCTTCGTTCCGTACGCCTTCTATGCACTCATCGTTAGAGCAAATTAACCGAAGCAAACAACAGAAGCAACACTTGCTAGCGACGGTATCAGGTGAAAAAACTTTGGCACGGCTAGTTGTAGTGGTGATCGACTCAGCAGTAAAGTTAGAGTGTGTGAGAATGCCAACATACTTACCACGGTTAGAGGTACTTGCTACAAGTATTAGAGTCAAAGTTCCAAAAACGTTACAGTTCTTGTGTCAGCAAATTCAGAACCAAGAGTTATCAATTGTTCCGTGAGGACAAAAAATAGTCGTTAACGCAACACGGCTGAAGACCTAGCTGTGGCTGTCTTTTTTCTAGAACAATGCGCTTGCTTCTACTCCATGTGACTCACCTGTTCAGTCTAAACCAATGCGATTGCCGCATTTATTTTCGAAAAAAAAATGTTTCGTGATCTTTTGTGTGTTGTGATATGAACACAGGCGTTTGTGCAACAGCTCATCACACCCGTCCCAAACCAACTAGAGCGTGACACGTGTTTCCCAACGTACTTCACGCTTCACTGACCATTGTCCGTCATGTCTTCCTCGTTTTGTTTATGTCGAATCCATATCACCCTCTTCCGTGACACATACATGTGTGGATACTGTGCATTGCCACGGTGCTGTTCACACAGGTATCGGATATACAAGCGAACTCTGTTTTCAGGGGGAAAAACCGCCTGACCTAGATTGTTTTTGCTGAACGCATGTGTTTCAGGGTCCAGCTGAATGAGAATGAGATTTGCTTAGACTTGTTGTTGTATCCATTTTGGGCATATCACTGCCCTAATCGGAATAATTAAACATGTTCAGTAACTTGTGCACAACTGAGATGGGCGTGGGTGTCCACACACACTCTTCGTTTCCTATTCAATATAAACCATAGTTTGACCCAGGCATCAGACAAGCGAAATGGCTGACTCATCGGCGTAGTCGTCATTCTCATCATGACATATCATTCAAAAAGGAAACATCGACAAACGCGCAGCTAGACATACACACACACACACACACCACCTACCTACTTTCTTACAACTGCACGAAAGCACGTGCACACATTCGTCGGACAGCCACCACCCAAAGTCCCTGTCAGCTTGAATGTGCAATTATAAAAACAGTCAACTATTCTATCTCGGCTCCCCTATATTGTGAACCTCACTGTCCATTTATGCAGTTTTGATTTTTTCCCTATACACACACCTCAGCCACAAATCCAACCTCTGGTGCAATCAGAGCTACACAGAAACTGTTTGTTGACGTGCGTGCGTGTGAGCGAGTGAGCCAAAAGAAATTTGATTAGAATAAGCTTTTGACAAGCATTCGTGAGAAGTTATCTCCCAGCCACGCACGAAGGCAAACATCCGAATTCTAGCCATTAGGGTCGTACCGACTGCCCTTGTGAAATGAACGCGACAGAGAACACCACTTGGTATATAGGCTTCCGTTTTTTCTCTCTAGTCTAAAAAAGCTCGACGAACAACGGGAATCGCGTTTTTGAAGTCCACCCTTGTAGTTGATAATTCGGTTTTCTTGACAATTTAAATTCAGTTTTTTTTTAATGACAAGCGCCTTCCACTCACGCGTTTCGTATAACAATATCTCGGACTAACATTGTTCAGCCCATGCTACTCAGAAACACATGAGTGGCCGGCAGGCGAATCCTATTTCCCGGTCAACATGATCTACGCATAGTAGGAGATCACTGACCAATAAAAATCTGTATTTAGAGTTTGTTGTGTAAAGTTGTGATGTCTCAGAGCAACTCGTTCTGCAAGCTTTTGTGTTCGGCAACACCTCAACGCATAAGTAGAGTTACTGGTGAAGACAAGATGAATGGGAGTGCAGAAACAAAATCACTTTAGCACTGTTTTGTTAAACAATGCCGCCGCCTCTAAAGTAGAACCCGAGAGACACTTCAAGTCCCACTTCAGGTTTCTAAACATTACTCTGATGGTTTGATACCAATGAAAACTTTTCGTTCACGCGGAAAGCCTAGGTTAATTTCTCAAGACGTACCAAGAGCCGTAGTGATCCAGTCAGTACGCAAGTTTGGTAGGAATGCAAGTTAAACGAAACCGTATTATTGCTTGTTCATATGTTTGCAGAGCTTGGCAATCAGGTTGCAGAAATATGCGTGTGAAAACACAGGAAGAACACGTCACACACAAAAGCACATATCCATATCAGGGTACTTTTCAGGACTGAAGAAGTTGCTGAAACAGTCATACAGCTTAGGTTACGCTTCAGTAGTAGTCGGTTGTTGTCAGTACGTAATGCTATTGACGGGGGTGAATAAGGCCGGATATGTTAGTCTCAAAATCGAGAAGCCTTAACATATGACAGCATATCCTAAGCTGAGTTCTCACGTTGGTCCACTGTCGGGCGAAGTAAGCTATGAATCATGATTCGTGCCAGAGCTAATTTCAGTAAGCAATGAGACACTCCAAACTCTTTGGGGGGCAACAAACCGAGTTGATTCAGTCAATAACTAGAACATTAATTTCCGGTGATGCTGATTTCTGCCACTTTTTCATGAAATACACTCAGCGACACATCAATTCGGTTGCAATGGGAGACTGAACTGAGTCCCAGCTGGATCTCTGGTCTATAAAAAATACCATAAACCAGCTAGTCAGCTAGGGTCCACTTGAGTCTATCGTTAAAACCAGAGAAAAAGTAAATGGCCCAGTTGTAACTCTTTTCGGCCTATTTACCATACCACACGAACCAAGCACTAGGTCTGAGCTATCGCCAGGTTGTTCAATTCCAGATGGGAGAACGTACCACGTACCTTCCTCTTATTAAATCGCAATTCCAGATGGGAGAACGTACCACGTACCTCTTATTAAGTCGCGCATTAACGGCGGAACTACATTGCACGCCAATAAAACCAAATTGGTGCACAAATGAGTGTATTTATCAGATTCATAGATTCATTCACATAGAACATAAATTCAGAAACTGAGCCCAAAGAAGGATGAAATCGTTCGTGGACTGTCGAAGGGTTTTCGACAGCCAGAGTCAGTCAGTCTTATCAGAACTTTCTTACTTAAAGCATAACTGCCAGTCATCTGGTTCATCTCCATATGCTTATTTGGAAGCAGGTCTGAAGCTTGTTTACAAATACGGAGTTTAATGCAGCAAGAACTTCAGCTGCGCGTCCAAACTGACCAAAAACGGGGAGGTCGCAAGATTTTTGTAAAACCACTGCTCCCAATCATCGCTAAATTGTACGTCCTGACAGAATGTAGCTGACTGCACTTTGTTAAGTAGTACAACACACATTTGCGCATAAATTTCAGCAGTACTGGTTGATCAGTCCTTCGTGTATCCACAAGTGTACGGTTGTTCAGTAGGGAAACTGTTTTATTGCTTGAACGTGCTTTGTGAGTAAGCGGAATGGTCGTTATATACTCCTGAAAACTCAGCTGGTTCTCTTGAAGTGCTAAAAATACGTGTCTGTGCATCGTGCCTGCTCGACTGCACGCACCTCGTTGACAAGGTACCAACTTAAAAATCCGTAAGCTGGTCATAACTCGATAGTGACTAGAGGCGACACTGTGCCGTCGCTCCCATCTTGAGAGGCCGCCTGAGGTGAGTGATCGAAAGTAGCTTTCCCTGGAGAGTAGCATATCTTGGGTGGTTTGGTCTTTTCTGAGGAGTACAAC